AAACATTAATGAGGTCACCCCTCAGTCTCCTCTTCTCCAAGCTAAAGAGACCCAGCTCCCTCAGCCGCTCCTCATAAAGGAGATGCTCCACTCCCTCAATCATCTTTGTGGCTCTGCGCTGGACTCTTTCAAGCAATTCCCTGTCCTTCTTGAACTGAGGGGCCCAGAACTGAACACAATATTCCAGATGCGGTCTCACCACGGCAGAGTAGAGGGGAAGGAGAACCTCTCTCGACCTACTCACCACACCCCTTCTGATACACCCCAGGATGCCATTTGCCTTCTTGGCCACAAGGGCACATTGCTGGCTCATGGTCATCCTGCTGTCCACCAACACCCCCAGGTTCTTTTCTGCGTGGCAGCTTTCCAGTTTGAATATAACAAATCCATTTTGTTACAACTGGTGCTAAGTTGGCCTAAAGACTCCTGTGAGGCGATTCACTGAAGTATACCCCACCTTTAATGTATATGCGAGAGAGATTATTTTTCCCCACGCCAGCCACCCTCAGAAAGAGAGTACAGCTGTCGGCTTCTTTCATACCAAGAGATCAGTACATATTGCTTTACATTTTCAATGCTGGTCATGCAAGTAAAAAGGCAGCTTAAAGACTTTGTAAGCTAAAGCTTAAATTCTCCAAAGCCACCACAGATCATGGGGCTTATAGTTTTCATTGAGTCATAGCTTAGAGACTTTAAAGGCCAGAAAAGAGCATTAGATCATAGGTCTAACCTGTACATTGCAGTTCATTGAACTCCAGCCAGTTACTCCTGTGCTGAGCTCAGTAACTTCTGTTTGCCTAAAGCGTATCTTCTATAAAGGCATACAGCCTTGATCCAAAGACATCAAAAGAGGAAGAAACCACTGCTTCCCTCAGTATTTAGTTCCTGTTGTTAATCAAGCTTCTAGTTATAAATGTATGCATTATTCTAATCTGAGCTTTTGTGGTTTCAGCTCACAGACATTGGTCCTTGATATGTTTTTTCTTCTAAAACAGTCCTTTAGTTCCCAGTATTTTCTTCCCTTGGAAGTATGCAGACACAGTAACCAAGTCACCTCCCAGTCTTCTTTTAGATAAACCAGATGGTGTTCCTTCATCTCTCATTATAAGTCTTTCCAATCCTTCAATCATTTTTGTGGCTCTCCTCTGTACTTTCTCCAATTTGCCTTTTTTTTTTTAAGTGGACAACAGAATTATACAGAAAAAATCCAGTGTCCATTTAACTAATACTGTCTAAAGAATACAATTAGTCATCCTCGCTATTCCTGTTCACTATTCCAGCTTATATGTACGAGGATTTTCCATTACTCCTTTTTGCCACAGCATGACAACAGGAGCTCACACCGAGCTCTTTTTCCTTTATGTCCTCTAAATGCTTCTCAGAGTTGCTGCCTTCCTGTTTCTTGCCCCAAAAGCTTTCCTTACCATAAGTTACTGTAGTGCCACATTGGACATATTAAAAGAGCAATGACACAACAGCTAGTTCACCAACATGGATTTTCCCAATTTTTATTTCACTTAATATTGCTATGAAGTCTAGAAGCTTGTGATTATTCAAGAATCTTCACTATCTTTTAAAGAAAAACAAAGAGGATGTGTCTTCTTGTACCTGAAACATTAGGAAGTCCAGGGCAAACTTAGCAAAAATAAAAGGTTATAATTTAAGAAGGATTATACCTTTTAAAGTAATGTATCATTTTTTGAATACCAGGTGAGATATCTGAAGAAAAACAATGTAACAGTGAGCATTACATTAAAAAGCCCACATTATGTCTCATTTTATGCAGTGAGTCAAAAAATATTGCATTTCCCTGGGAAATGAAACTCATGCAAGATTTCTAGATCTCAACAGCTGCATGGCTCCCACCTTTCTCATGTTGTATGGTCTTTCAGAAAAGCTTCTATGGAACTGATGAAGCATGGGAGATACAAGGTAAGGTTTGAAGAGAATAATTAAGGAAAATTAGGAAGATTAAAAGCAAACAAATAAATAAATACAGAGATAGCATCAAAATTTACAAATACTCTAAATGTGGAGGTGAAAAATGACCTGTACTCTGGGTTGCTCAATACCAGTAACAGAGTACCACAGAGTATAGATATGTACGATCACATTTAGGATTTTATTTCTATCATAACAGCTCTTATCCAGCTATAACTGCTGAAATAGCAACTGAACTAAAAATGTATATACACACCTAAGAATTAACTGAAGAACACATCTTGAGCAAGTAAAATTACATGAGCCAAGCTGTAAATTTGTGTTATGAATGTCTGTGTCAGCAGTGCAATACTGATTTTACTCCTGAGTGACTTCATGATTCAAATGTGATTTAAAAGATTAAAAGATACAAAATCAAACTAAAATGACCAAAAAATGCTCTTTAAAAAGTCTGTCTTCCTTTCTATTAGAAAATAAAGCCACTTTCACTCAACTTCCCTCTGTCCTAAGTTATTTGTAGAGCTCCATGTTTAACTTAAATATTCAAAATATCTACTAAGATACAGACAGGAGTTGCTTCATTCCTGTCATTTATTAATCTGGTTCCAGGACTTCACTGAAGAAAAATAGGAAACCTGCTTCGATTTCTGTAGGCCAGGTAGTTTCAGGTTCTCTCTCAAGATATATATGTGTAAAAGGTATGCACTACAGAAAAGAGAACTACTGGCACAGGGAAGACAAATACAAATAAATATTTGGTCACTCTTTTAATTTTAAAAAGATTTAGTTACGGATTCTGAATATTTAATATACCTGCTCCATGCATTGTATGAGGAAGAGACACACATAAGTAAGATTTGCATAAGAAAAACCCTATAAAAACCAAGATACAGCTTAACTCCTTTATCTATCTTCTGCAAGTCTAGGAATCCAAATAAGATGCTGTTGCTTTGAGATTTTTATCAATTTCCTCTGCTACACAAATTTTTACACAAAGCAGAATGTATGTAAATGGATCACATTTCAAAGAAAATTTTCCTTTACCTTTGTACTGTTGAGAAACCAGAGCTTGATGCTAATGACAAAGAGCATCTATGTAGAATGAGGTAAAGAAAGCTACAGAGGATGAGACATATATCTATGGCTAATTATATCATCAACAGAATTTCAGGCTGAAACACTTGCAAGTTAACTAAAATTAACAGTTTAAATTGTGTGCAAAGTCTTTTCAAACCAATCAGAATGAAAATACACTTCACAGTGTCAAGAATTTGTTAAGGAAAAAGATAATTTGACCCTAAATAGCTAAAATGAGAGAGACCTGATAAGCAAGATAAGCATCCAGGGACATCCAAATGTAAGCAAGAAACAGGAGGTACCTAGTTCTGAACAACAACAGCAACAAAACCACTTCTGGAACTGCAGTACTAGTGTGCTGTCTCACTGCTTCTAGTAAACCGGTGTCATGATACTAAACAGAGAACAGAAAGAGCTGCAGGCTTATTTGCATTTGACATAGTAATTAATTCCAATCATTTGCCCATGACTTTAAATCTGTAAAAAATCTCCAACTAACAAGTTAGAAAAATATATTGCCAGAAAAACAGGAGGCTATTGCCATTTGCAAGACAGCAGGTCTAAAAATGCCTTACTACCAATTGTGGATACTAGCAGAACTGTGTGAAAAGTAAGGCACTTACAGCAGAGGTATGCCCTCTGCTTATCAGTAAGGTACAAAAAAGGAAAAAAAAAATTGTTTTTTATAAAATGTCAGCATTTTAAAAACGAATTCCTGACAGAGTAATGAGCAATCTATGAAATGGCCAGTAATGACTAGAATCAGAAGGGTCCAAGAAAAATAAGAGTTTGTTTTTCAAAACACCAAGGGGTACACAAGACAACCTGTTAGGGAAGGAAAAAGAGAGAAGGAGGCTAAGATAATTCTTCCATTAATAATATTTACATATGCTTCCAGGCACATTAAACTTCCTTACATGCAGAGGGTACATGGCTCTGCACTGATGGAATCACAGCAGTCAGAACTGTGAAAAAAATGCCTGATCCTAAACAGAGTTGTAGTTCATGCTTTTAGGAGCTAATTATAAAATACATGTGAAAGCACAATGTACAAGATGGAGCCAGATTATATCTGATAATTCAAAATTAAAAGAATTGCCCCACAGGAAACAAAAGCTACAGAAGAAGATAGTGCAAAAATGAGCATATCTTTGTTACGGATGTAGTAGTTACAACACTGAAGTAACAACTTAATACACAGAGGGCTATGTTAATATTTTTGTGTGGTGGCTGAGCACAGCAAGGCTGGACAGTCTGATCCAGGCATTCACGTAATCAGTAAGAATTCTGCTGACACTCCATTCAGCTTAGCACCATGCTGTATGGGTGGGTACATGTATGTGAATCATCAGCAGCACCTGAACAGGATGTACGAAGAGGCTTGGTGAATCAGTGATCCAGTATTAAGGCAAGAGGACATTCTTTTTTGGAGAGGTAGCGTTTTTAATGAGAGTTTCTGAATACAGGTCATTTACAAAACCCATTTTTGCTCTTCCTACAATGGAGAGTATTAAGTCTAGCTTTTTGTCCAAGCTTCAAATGTAATAGGGTTTTTTTTAAAGAACATTAGAAATGTCCTCCAATTTCCCAATTGTCTATGTATTATTCTTTTTTTTTTTCACTAAGACCATGTAGCTGCAGCTCTGCACAGCCAGACCATTGCAACATCCCTGCAATCTCAGCAATTATAACAAAATAAAATAGATTAATTGGCCACCGGCCAAAATCTAAAAACCTGTTTAAAAATGCATGGACTCCATAGAATTATTTAAATATATAAAGCATTATTTAATCTAGGATGCCTTATTCCCTTTACTGCAAAAAAACAAAATCCTGGGTCACAGTTTCAAGTTCATGCTTCTCCTCCATTCGTGTACATTGCTTCATATTGGATAAATATGAATGTCACATTTCAGCCTAGGGTTGTTACTGGGTTTTTTTTGGTTTTTCACTGCTAGTTCGATCACAGATCACACAAGTACCTTGTAAGAGGTGAGGATGAAGAGGCTGGTGAGCAGTAAGAACAGCTGTCATCTCATCGTGATCAGAAGGATGTATGTACTCATAAATGCTATTACCAGTAAGCTCCACCTGTGAAGAGACATGTAACACATGAAGCAGTGCAGCTGGCTATTTCCCCCCCTCCCCGTACCAAAAGTGCTCTTAAGTAACCTGCATACAATGCATCTGGGTAACTACAAACCATTTTTAGAACATAACCTGAATGTGTCAAAACCATGTTCCAAATTATATCCGTTAAACCAAATTCCTTCTTCAGCAATAACTAATATTATAGGTGTTTTTGTGGGAATTTCTGGTGGTGATATGGATACAGAAGAGCTGCTATTAGAGAGAGCTGGCAAATGAAGTGATAAACTAGAGCAGGTGTAGAAATGTTAGATTGCCAGAAAATGGGATAAAGTCTCTGTGAACTGTATTAATCTCTCTCAAGAAGACAGATATCCAAAAAAATAATGTTTCCACAGGTTCCCAGAATCTGTCACCTGCATTCAGCTGGTAGCTGAGCCTTCAGAGCCAAACTACTAGACTTACACAATTCCTTTGTCTTTTCAAAGACAGCCTACCACACTCAGCCCACAGTAGTGTGAAGGGCTCAGAACAGTAGCCAGTCAATTCAAAAGGCAGACTTCCATAGATTTTCATAGGCACTGGATTGAGCTTTCATTGCTTTAATAAATATGCACAGTAAAGACTACATTTGTCTTAAATATGTGTGTATTCCCTCTTCTCACTTTAATTTTGCTCACACAAGAATGTATTTCCATCTTTCTCATTGCTGTATCCATAATAACTGTTGTGCGAAAAAATGAATGGCGTGCACCATATGTCCTTTTTGCTAACTCTGTTTGCCACGTATAAAACTCACCAACAAAAGTCTCCAGATAGATGCAGTAATTGATTTAAGGAGTGAACCAATACTTTGAGCCTGTGTTTTAAATTAGTGTCAGGCTGCCCAATTGTTCAGTGTGGCCTGATGTGCCTTGGGCCCCCAAGATCAGAGACAGCTGAGAGGTGAAGTAATTTAACCTATTATTCTGAGCCAATCCTACTGATTTGCTAAGATGTGTGAGTTGCCTTTTCTTTGGAATAAATGAAGTTGTCTACCCCACAAAGCAATCTTTTTCCAAAAATGTTTCTCATCATTCCATTTTCTGCATTATTCATGGAATGTCTCTTCCCAAGCATATGCAAACTAACTTTTTCTCTAGCCATCTATTCCCTGCTGCTTCTTTCCAACAACTCCTCCCTGCAAAAACAAAAACATCAACCCTGATTTGTGATTCTAACCAGAATGAAATTTCACTGAATAAGGGAAAAAAAAAGGTAAAGAAAGAGAGACAATGAAAGGAGAGATGGAGAGAGAAAGAAAGGGAAAGAAAGACAGAAAGAGTTGAAGAAAAAGAAAGAAAGAGAGGAAGAAAACAAAGGAAGAGAGAGGACAAGAAAAAAGAGAGAAAGAAAACAAAGGAAGAGAGAAGACAAGAAAGAAAGAGAGGAAGAAAACAAAGGAAGAAAGAGGAGGGAGAGGGAGAGGGAGAGGGAGAGGGAGAGGGAGAGAATTATCTAAGTTGCTTCATTAATATACTTTTCTCCAAAAGTTCTCCTTAAAAAGCACTGACTCTTCCTTTTCAGGACTGTAACAGGTGGGGACCTGTTACAGTAACATCTCATATTCAAGCTTTCGTGATGAGGGATGAAGGAGAATATACAGTCTCACTGAGTCATGCTTCTCAATGCTTCTGTTTGTTTTTAATGACATAAGGAAAAACGTATTGTAAAAGATATAAGTCATCTACAGACACATAAAACCAATTTTTATAAAATTCTAATAATTCCAGTGGTGATGGGCATTTCGTTGGCCTATATGCGTAGTAAACCAGAACATGAGAAAAATTATTGCAAAAATACACAGCTGCGGTCAGTGTTCAAACCTAAACAAATATCACTTACGACCCTGTTCTTATTATCTTATCTTTGGTTAACAGTGATTTTGCAGAGAATACAGCTTCCAAAAAAAAATAAAAATCATTCATGGGTGATTATATGCAAACAATCTCTCCCTTCAGTACAAATAAAAGACTTTCTTACAAAACAGCACCAACCAACCTGACTAGCAACATCAACTGTAATAATCCAAAAGATCTTGTTGCATCTCTGCTACTACAGAGTATAACCATAACTGGATCAACATGCATCTACTCTCGTATAAAGTATAACTCATGAGTGTCTCTTGCTTTTCCGAAAGTCACTACCTATTTCAAAAAGACTACTCACAGAAATACATGTTTGTCCACAGGATTCACAGGGCTGGACCCAAGATCCCTGTTTTACCCAAACTGCAATTTGTCTCCCGGGGCTTATACCTAAAATTCAAAACTAAAGTGCTCTGTCAAACTAATGACTAGTTTTTCTCATTATACACATAGGAATATTTTCTACTCTGATGTATGCATTTGCAACCCCAGCAAAAATCAGCAGGAGGTGAATGTACAACACTGAAACCAAAATTGACTGTAAAAATGCAAGTGGAAACATAAAGCCCTCAGCAAAGAGACTGGGGCTATGTAAGAGTCAAATAACCAAAATATGTATACATAATTTTGAAACTGACCACAGTCTCCTGCTATGCATAGTGCATGCATACTATTTTAAACCCTATAATGAAACACTGAAAACTTAAAAAAATAAATTATATGGTTCAATTCATAAAGCTTCTAAAATCTCATGCCTCAGGCTTATTAAACCAGCTTCCTTGCTGCAGCTTTTTAATATCTGTAAATACCTGCTTACTACCAAATATCGCTGTTTCCTACTAAGAGGGTTTTTTTTATGTGTAACTCAGCTGCACACTTTTTTCCCTGCCAAGAAATGATTCATAATAAACACAGAGGACTAAGTAGATGGATTCTAGAGCAAATAATTACATATTTTGCTTTTCATATACTTATTTGATGAAAGTAAAATAAACTCTTGGAAAAGTTCAGATGTTTGTGGTTAAATATTTCAAGACTTATCAAAAGTCAAAGATAAGCTTGGCTCCCTCATGGACCCAGAAAGTGGCTGGAATAAGCTCCAGACCTTCAAAATTAAAAAAATAAAATAAAATAAAATCTTTCACCATTGTTTCCTAAGAGGATTTTCCTCTCCAGTCTGTGACTTTGGACTCTAAGGGGAAAAAATATTTGGAGAATTTGAACCTATTTGTTATCCATGGAAAAAAAGAGGCAAGAAATTGGCTCTCTCAGCTAGCACAAGTCAGTTCAACACTGGTCTAATGCCGATTGAAATTAGATGGAGAAGAGGGGTCCTAACCATCAGTATTTACCACATTTACTGTTACAGTTGAGAACAAAGGCAGATCAGAAACCAAAGCCACAAATTAAGTGATAGATCCACAAATGAAGATGTAGCCTTTTCAGAAATATTGTTTCTGATTCTCTGATACTGCAGACAGAAGTGAGTGAAGAAGTGCTGAAAAAAATCCTTAACGTTTTTTTTACGTTTTAAACTAGCTTAACTACACCAACCAGTGAAAGGTTATTCAGAAGCTCTAATTTCTTTCTGCTGAAGTTAAATTCAAGTTCAACTAGAAGATAAAGGCTACAGTAGTAGGTCTCCAAGAATATCCTGCAAAATATTTTAAATGGACTTTTTATTTAGTTTAAATATATATTTTTAAACAAATTGCACTTTAACTGGAAATTGATGTGTGGACTAGTTAATTGTCAAATTATTTAATAAAAAGGCCTTTCTGTGCACACTCTAAGAGATTTTCTACAATCATCGTCACTCTGGTCTCAGCTTTTATTGGCTGGAGCTCTGTGAGAGCACTTGTTGAAAATATAGTGTGGGATTATGACTTGGTGAGGGAGACTTGCAGAATTTGCTTCTACAGACCAATCTCATTCTTGTTGATGTCAGTGGCAAAACTCCCAGTGATTTCCAGAGAAGTAGGAACAAGAACTCATTTAGAGTCCCGGGAAGCTTACAGACATATCCTAGTGGTAATGTATTAATATCCTAGTATGTAGGACTAGCCTTGTATTAATGCTAGTACTACTTAAAGCAAAATTCTTACTTCAAAAATAGAACATGGAGAAACAGCAAGAGCAGATTAGATATAAAACAGTATGAGGAAAGAGGGGGAAAAAAATCACTGCCTTGTTTAGCTGAGGTTTTTTATTTGTAAATAAAAAAATGTGCACTGTGAAACTACTGGAGCACTTAGTGTTTTAAGAATCTAGAATATGTTCTTAAATTTCACACCCCTCTGTCCTCTCTGACCTACAGCTTTCTGGGGAATTCAAGGACACAGTCCATCCATTTAAAAATCTCTGCTAAAGTGAAGTAATTGTGATTTTGCTTATTAAACTGACTTCAATAAGTAATATGACCAAATCCTCTAGTTTTGCTCGATACCTCTTGTGCTAAGAGTTTACAGATATTTAAATGTGCAATGCACATGGAATTTAGTCTGTACAGAAGACCATAAGGGCACAAGGGCTAAATATGACTAAAGCCTGTATGGCACTTTCAGTCCATCTCCTTGAATGCGGCCGAGTCTATTTAGTGCCCTACCTCTCCCGTAGTTCTTTAATTTCACCAGATGACTGGATAATACTGAGACCTACAAGATCTGGTGACTTGATATTCCTCAGAAGGAAAGAAAAGAGAAACAATTTCTGGACAAAACCTGGAAGATCAGTTAGCACTTATCAAACAGCAAGCAGCACGGGACAATGAGACTCTACTTCAGCAAGGACAGATGGGAACACTCAGTGCTTTGGAATAATTGTACTGACTAAATGAATCTATTTAAGCAGTCAGCAGTGTGGTGGATCTTTTCAAAAGCTAGGGCAAGAAAAACTTTAAATAATGCTGATGATTCAGAGTAGAAAATATGGCCATTCTCTACGAAAGTATATTCTAAAACAAAGCCATATTTAAAGTAATTTGAACATGCATTAAATGTTATGAAGCAACTAATATACTGAACAGACTCAATTGAGCAAACTCCTTGAACTAAGGATATTCCCTGGACACATTTTTAAAAGTTGGCAGGAAAAAAGTATCCACATACAATATTGATTCTCAAAACTGCTTTTTATAAAAGAGATTACAAAAACAGAGATTGTAGTTGCCTTTTCGTTTTAGAAATGGTGTTTACGAGATTATATACTTGCTTTTTCTAGCTATTTAGAGTTCTATTTTTTTCTCACAGCTTCTAATTCGAAGATCACTATTATAAACACACATCCAAATAACATCACAGTTTTTCAATCAAATATGTTAGTTACTACCAAAGTTAAAGTACACATATAATGTCAGCAACTCAGCCTCTTCTCTGTTTATTGCAATAGCCACAGGCCATATTCCTCAGACATTTTCAGAACATCCAGTGCTCTCTCTCACCTTCATCTCCTCATTTATTTCCCTCTGCTACTGAGTCTTTATTTCACTTCATCTAATTCTGAGAAGTGTTTGAGCTGCAACTGGTTCTGAAGAAACACTTCTGTTTCTTGCAAGTCTCATCCAGGACTCAGTGAAATTACTGAAGGATTTTTCTATTGGACTTCAGCAAGCTCTAGGTCAGGTGCTACCAATGAATTTGTGTAATACAAAGGTATGGAAGCTTGCACTCTGCAATAAATTCAGGCTATTTGCCTTTATGCCTGTCCCAAGAAGGCAAAAAATTAGAAATGTCCTTCTAAGAAAAAACCAAAACAAACCAACAATAAAAAACCCTTATACTTCTTGTGCAGAACAGTAGTAAACTGAGTTTTATGAGTTCTATCACAACCATATAAAACGCTTTACTGAAAAGACCACTGAGCTGGAAAAACTCAGGAAAAACTACCCCGAATTCCATATGAACACTCATAAATCTGCCCCCTTTTTCTTTTTTTTCCTAAAACACATTTACCATAAAACTCATGTTCCACATCAGATTTCCTCTCTATTTCATAGCAAGTCTCAATATCTTACACAATCTAAAACATATAGACTTGAATTCTAAACTTTATTTCAGACGTATAGCATTACCACACAGGCAATAGATTTGGGTTTCAAGGTCTGTATATATCTGCAATTTGCAATATCATATTATTTATTACCCTTCTTAAAGGTAATGAAGAGTGAAATACAATGAACAAGAAAAGATATAAAAACAGTCATGTTGTGCTTATAAGTGAAGGAAACTTGAATTTTTAAGTAAGGTCATTTGTCAGAGAACAAGGTCAAAGCTTCACATACCACTAAAAAACAATGACATTATATACATGGTGAGATACTAGTCTTAGTTTCCAAATCCGGTATGCATATTTAACAGATAGAAAGACTAAATCACTCATACCTGAGATAAGCCAAGATGTACAGACGCTGTTTCTGAGATGTACATTATTTTGCCATCTGATGCTACTACAAAAACAAAGCCATCCAAAGTCTGAAAAAGAGAAATATGTAGGGTGAAAAGCAAGCACTCTGTTTAAACCATTTACAGTGAAAAAAAAAAAAAATCAAAGTCTTTGGAGGAAGATTGCTATGCAACTTCAATAGCGGCAAATAGCAGCAAAATTTAAGGAACAGAAACCTTTATCTGATGCTGTTCCTACAAAGTCTAGGACACACACACACATTGTGAAATCCAATTCATTGCCCCTACAGCTTTACTAGCTTTACTGCTTCACTTTAAGTTGACATTCTCCTGTTGATTTGGGTTATTTTAGTACTTAGTACAAATCCTGAGCTATGTGGTACTTAGGGGAAAGTGTAGTACTACGCAAGCCATTTTTTATGGTATAATTGGCAGACACAGCTTACCACTATTTGCAATATATTTAATCATACCGTAGGTAACACTTTAAATGTCTTTGACTGTATTTTTAATAATTAACTTTCTGAACAGAAAAGGGTTGTCTGCTATGTAGCTATGCAAATTTAGGAAAAGAAAGTAAAAAAAATTGATATTCAAGACTTTATCACACTTGAAGAGTGTTTTATGCTCTTTAAGCTATATCCCTACAGTTTGTGCATCTCAATTAATGGTAATACATAATGCAAACTTGAGGTCCAGTCCTACAAATTCTTATGGATGGGATATTGACTGGAAGGTAATTATTACTTATGTAAGTAAAAAAACTGATGTTTAATTTAGTCATATATTACTCATATGAAAAAAAATAGTATGATGCAAATGGTACATGTCAGCCAATTCTGGCCATGATTTGGAAATACAAACTATCAGTTTGGAGGTACCTTATTTCTTCAGTGCCCAATTTGAGGCATTTTTTTAAAAATATCTGATATTCTAAGTCAAAAAGCATCCATTATTTCTAAGCAGTTGAGGAAGCCTTGATCAATGTATACATATGATCATCATCGGTAAATATATGTCGAATAGAAAAAAAATATAATACACAAATAAAATATATGCCTATTTTAATTTATCTTTTCAGTTACTGAACCAGGAGGGAAGCAATAAAATCCTGTGTGCTTCATGCTCTTACAGTGCTGCCTCATAAGAAAATATTCCAAATTATTCTCTGGCCTACTAACGATTCTCCAGCATGTAATTGAAACCAGATTACTTTTTGGCTTTACTTTTTTCTTTTTTGGGACATAAATTAAATTTTGTAGAAGTATTAAAATGGGAAATAAATTATTGCATCCTTAGCCATAACTTTGCTTTTAAACAGTGTCGTCTTGCAATTGCTCTGCCCAGTATCACGACTACAGCCATGTCAATGCTTTCATTACTGCATTATATGGTGCAGTAGGTCTCTAACTTTCCTAATCAGAAAAGCATATTGAAGCTGAAACGTCACATGTAAGGTTTCAGTCTAAGAACCCTTTAAAAAGTTTACAGTAAACGTGGGTTTATTGAAATGTTAAGCATTCATAATTCAGAAAAAACTGAACTGTAAAATTAGTATTACAGGTAATCAGCATATAATGTTACTTAAGTTCATTTAATGCCAGACAAAATGCGAAATAGCTAACAGGGGGGAGGAGCAAATGTAACAACAATTATTTTCATGACATAACTAGATATGTATTTTCTAGGTAGATCAGTCATTCCAGAACAGCTGACAGGACAATCAGCTACTAAGAATTTTCAAGGCTAGAAATACCTCCACATGAGGTAATGTTGAACTTTACCCATTTCCGTCTGCTCTATGCGGTCAAGTAACGCACACTTCAGGTCACTCGACAGAAAGCGTGCCCTCTTTTCGCTTCAGGAAGAACGGATGACATTTTGCAGGGCCGCAGCAACAAATAGAGAACCGTGCCCGGTTCTTTACATTTCTCAACGTCGGGCGAACCCGCACGTCTTTTCCCGCCCAGCCCACCCTGCCGCCTCGTTACCTCCCTCCAAGTGCGCGGCTTGCCTGAGCTTGAGGAGAACGGGCAGCTCTGCCTGAGGGGGAAGGCGGGGGGAGGTTGCTCACGGCCCTGCGGCCAACGGCCAAGGCGGGGGCGGGCGTCGGGGCCAACGGCCGGGGCCCGCTCGGTCCCAAACCGCCTTTTGGCGGGGGCAAAGATGGGAGAGCCCTCCCGGCGACTCAGCGGAGGGAAGCGGCCACAAGACCCCGCACAGGGGGTTCTGTTGAGGTTTGTTGTTTTTTTTTATCCCCAGCCGGAGCGAGTAGTTAAAACAGCTCCAGCTCTGTGACCAGGAATTAACCTCCCACAATAAAAACGGCCGTTAAACGATTACGGTTTACTAGGTCTTTAAAATCGGGGAAGAAAAACCCTCTCTGTATTAAGTTCATATATATATATAAAAGAAATTGAGCTAAACGTAATTAATTCCCCCCCCTCCGCCTGGCACACACGCCCCAGCTACGACTTCCTAAACTTTTCTAGGCGGGGGGAATTCAGAAGAATTCAACGGGATTGCGAACAACGGTATTTTCAGGTGCTAACGTCCACAGGAGATCTAACCCAGATGTTCACCTCCGGCCTGGGCGGCCCTGAGCTCCCATACGGGTTTTCCCTCCCGAGTCACCGGCGGAGAACGATAATCTCCGGTGGCCAGCGCCCCTCCTCCAGCCTAAAGTCTCTGCCGCGTTGCCGCTCGCAGGCGGCTGCCCTGCGGGACTTGCCTCGCAGCTCTGGGGGATGGATGTCTGATTATCAGCATTTACGGCTGGGAGTTGCTTTGCGTGCACGGAGAGCCCATCAGTGCCATGGTAAGCTGCTACTTCTACTAATATTAAAAGGCGAAAACAACAACAACAACAAAATGAAGTGGTTGGTGTTTCGGTTTTCCTCCCCTCCCCGCCGGTGTGAGGCTCAGGAGCAAAAGGAAGGCTTCACTCAGGTTCTGGCGGTGAGGAGGAGAGGAGGGAGGTTGATCACACTGCAACACCAGCGCGTACGAGAGGAGGAAGGCGCCCACTACCTGAAGCAGATGGGATCCGAGCTCCTTGGCCACGTTATCCAAGGGCCCTATCCTGCTCGGCTGTCCCCAGGCGTCGCCCAGACCTGCAAGGGAACCAAGGAGCTGGTTAGAGCGGGAAGTGGAGCCGGGCCCTCCCTGCCTTACCGGTGGAACGTCCCCTGCCCGCAACCCGCCCGCTCGTCCCGCTTTTCCTGCGAATCGCGGGCCAGGCCGCGACGTGGGGGTTCGGGAGGTGGGAAAGGCTGAGTTCCTTCTATTACACACGCGTGGGGAGGGAAGTGCTCTTTTTCCTGGAGGTCATCCCCACGGACGCACTTTCTCCTTCCCCGGAGAGCCGCCCGGCCTCCAGTGCGTCCCCCCGGGAAGGCGCCTACCTCAACCGCTTCCCCTCGCCCGCCGTCCCGGCACCGTCCTGCCCGCAACACCATGCCCGCAGCCGGGATAGGGGGGAAGACTGGCCACACACTGAGAGCCCGAGGCCCGCAGCCTTGCCAGGCACAGCGCAGGGCACTTGGCGCCCAGAGAGGGAAGGGCGTGGGGGTTCCGACAGGGAAGGCGCTAGGAGCTTTTGCCCGTCTTCAATCACTGGGGCTGGGGAAAGCCCGTGTGCCTGGCATTGCCTTGGAGATGGTGAAATGTTATTGATGGAGCTGTGTTGTGGGGGGCTGGAAGGGCTGGTCTGGGGTTTGTTGATTTGTTGTTAATTTCCTCCATGCATGCTTGCACCAGCACCTCAGTGAAGCTGAGACCACTACCCGTGCCAGCCTGAAAGCTGGAGATTCACACCGGCCTCTGATGGCAGGCTCTGCCCGAAGGACCGCACACATGGGGTGGGGAAAGGGGGACGGGACTACCTCCATTTAATTACTGCTTTTTGGGAGAGAAAGGAGATAAAAGAAGGCTTAAGCCCTCGGGGCTACAACACCGCTTCTGAGAGGCCACGGAGCCCTAAGGTTGTTGCTGCCCATGCTTCCCTGCAGCCGAGAGGCGCTGCGGAAGGGCCAGCGGCGGGTGAAGGGC